TATATATATATATGTACATATATATAAATACATATATATGATATATACAGGCGGATTCACTCCTTTTTGCAGGAACGTTATTCGCGGCGAGACCAGGATTACGGTGTACAGCTGGCAAGCAATCGGAAAAATATTGACTTAATTTCGAATTGAAGCGTTTTTAATTGGTTTACTACGGGAGCTTTATGGTTGTTTTGGCGTCATTCCGTCCGCAGATTTCTGGCTACATGCCACTTACTGAATTTTATAGAAGTTTAATTTCCTTGTAGAGTTGCTCGCTGTATGTAGGGCTTTTGAGACATTTATGGCTTGTCCCAAGAATATTTTAAACGTCACAGCTCAACTTGGTTCGCATGTGATAAACCCTTTTGAAAGACGTTACGATCACAGTTTGGCTGAATTCGGTAAACCAGCTGCGCGTTTTAAAATTCCAGAATCTAGTAATAGTTAGTTTCAGATGATTTTGGGGATCATCCCTTCGCGGGTTGTTCATAGTTCACTCATTCGGAACTTCCTTCAAGTTCTTTAACCTCATTATTTGTAAACGAAGTTGAGTAAAGTTGAAAGACGTTTTTTTATACTAAACAATCGAACAAATTTTGACAGTTCCTGCGTGCCGCCAAGACGGGGAAAAGATGTTTATAGACTCGTCACAAAAAAAAAAAAAGAAAAAAACAGCCGTTTAATTTCCTTCACAAGAAGCTATATGGCGGAAGATTTTCATTCCGTAAAAGAAGGGCATGACCAGGGTGAATCAATCCCGGTCAGTCGCGCAGAGTTGGGCAGAGCTCAGGTAAAGGGGGCTCACAGTTTCAAGGTTGTACACTAGATGTAACAGAAATAAAACAGAAAGAATAGCTTTTCTATATCTCTGCTAATAATCGAATTGTCGTGACGTACGTTGAATGTGCGAACGTGTGAGTACCTCAAACTTTGGTAATTAAACCTTTATTATAAAAAAAAAAAACAACATTTAATTTCAAAATTACTAACACATCATATATAGTAATAGGCACAACAAAATAGCAATCACTAATGTGTTAAATCAAAATTAAAGAAAATTAGGCGATAAAAGCTGCAAAAAGGGAAATTAGCTGGTCATCCTCGCGGGATTGTGTATCGGCATACAATGGCTCCTTTCTTTCTGCTGATCTTTTGGAACGATCAGCCTTTATCATTATGCAAATACTTGGTTGTTTACATGCTTGCTCTTCTGGCGACCTTTGCCGAGCGAATTCCATATGGCTTGCTAACTGTAGCTTTTCGCGTTAGCCGCGACACTGGAAGTGAACCACTCAAATCTTTTTCGGTTTATAAAGTTGATACAAAAATGTTGGGGCTTATTAGAGATCAAGCTGAGGTAGCTACTTAGTGCGCACTGTAGTATCTAAAGGTTTTTGAAGGACAAAAACAGGAAGCGGTTGGGGGCACTGCGAGAAAAAAGGCTTTAGGGGTAGCACAAGAATGTTGTTACAACTGAAGCCTATTACTAATGTTAAAACAAGAAATGGGCTTGTAGGACGAAATAACTTCTTGTGAGGTGCTGAAGTGAAGAGTGAACCACCGGAAGAAATTACCATTCAAATACTACCCCACAGAAGCCAAGGAACGAAAGAGGAAAAGCTATACTGGAGAACAAACTGCTTTATACAATGTCTAAATTGTAAGCTTCATTCGAGTAAATTCAAACGTTTTAAATAAAGCATGTAATTCCCCAAGCCTGGCAGTAATCAGGTGAGTAGTCAACGTTCTGCGATTGTTTTGTTTGAACTATTCGCACCAGTGAAAAAATGTATGCATCAGTGATTCCAGCTCTCTGACGGCACGTTTAAAAGGCAAAACCGAAATGACCTAGTACACACTTAGAAGAAAGAGAATTGTCAAGGAGCAATTGAGATATCCGAGAGGAAACTTTCGCGGCGAGAAGTTCCGCTTTCAAGCTGTATGCTGAAACTTTAGAAGTATTTCAGGAACTGAGGAAAGATCTAGGTTGAAAAAAAAATAGCGAAAGAAATAATTCTGATTTCAAGACTCAAAATATTTGTCAATCATTAGCAGAAGTGACAATATTAGAAAGTATGGCACCCAACCTCAATGTTTTTGAATCTGTTCTAGGGCTGAGGAATGTTTCAAACACTAAACAACTGGAAAAAACCTCACTTAACAAAACTGTGGAATAGCTGATACTGTAGGCCATAACGAGGTAGAAGTAACATGCGGGAAATCCAAGAAGTTTTTTTCTCAGGATGAATTCTAAAGCGTAACACCAAGGAAACATCGACTACGCGATGGAAAACACTGGAACTTGTGACAATCCATTACCAGTTTGGAATTGACAAAAAATTCACTTCCCGCCAGTTTTCACGACAAGATGAACGGATGGCGAAATACTACTTCGGTGATAAACTTATTATAGCTCTCGATGGGACCAGGTCTATAAGTGCCATGTCACTACTTTTAAGTCGAAAACGGTCCCGAAGTTTTGAGGGGTTTAATTAAATGTTTTAGAATTAGTGATAAAAGTTTTGAAGAATCACTGTAGTATTTTATTTAAGGAAAAATGACAAAGAATGAGCCAAAGAAACTTAGAACGGACAGAAATGACACTTGAAATCTGCGACAACCAAATCATTCCTGTCACTATGTGTTACCGTATTTTTAATTGCACTTAAGTTACAAAGTCACGATTTTCAGCCCGTGCAAAGTGAGCAGCAGCAACTTTCGAATCATTAAAACGACCCAATTTTCCACATATCCATTGGCCAACGTCATATAAATCATCCAGCTTAATCCCCTAAAAGCGTTATTGCGAAAAAAAGCTTCTGCAAAGCATGTTTTAATGCACTTATCTTTTTAAGCGTATCTCCATACTTTGTTAATCATTAAAAGACGTATTTTGGAACGAAAAAGTAGCTGAATCTGAATTACCGTTTCAAAACCCAGGTCCTGCAGCATGTAAACCAAGTCTTCAGTTGCTACATTTCCGGTAGCATTTTTACTGTAAGGGCAGCCTCCAAGTCCAGCAATGCTGCTATCTGCTGTCCTAATGCCTTTCTGTAAAACTTGTTAATCTAAACTGGAAATATGAATACTCAAGGTGCACTTAGAATAAAAACTATTTTTAGTGAACAAACCTCGATGGCTACCAGAATATTGGCTAGCGCTTGGCCGTAAGTGTTATGGAAATGTACCGCCAACTTAGTTGTTGGCACTCCAGACATAATTAATGTGTCTAGTAATTCTTGAATACTTCTTGGACCTCCAGCACCCGTAGTGTCTCCAAGGCTAACTGAAAGATAGTACTTAAAGGTCACTGAAGAAAAAAACTTGTACAATTTTCTACTTTGTCTAAACCACTGCTCATCAATCCTCTCTGACCTGCTGTTCTCCTCTGGAGAACAAATGTCAAATGTTGTAACTTAAACTCGAGGAACAAAAAAAGAAAAAAAAAAACACTGGCACCGACACAAGGTTTCTAACCTATGCGATAGTCGACTTTAATCATCAAAAATGTGCGTCTGCATTAACCAGTGGGTTACCGTCTTCGTCTTCGGAATTGCCTTACGTTTTATAAATATTTAGCACGAGAAAGTAGAGTCAGAGTTGAATCTCCAGAAGTATAATTAGTATAAACGCCTAGACTGTACTACTCTTTAGTTAATTTTGTCTCTTGTGAACTAGTCTATTCTTACGACTTCAGTAGACTATTTTTCATTGTATTTTAGTCAAAATTCTTTAAACTTTTTAAAGCAATTTCAAAATCATCGTGTAAAACTTTGCAAATTTTTAGCCGTCTGCTATAATGCTGTGATGAAACTTTCCCTTAACATTTCACCAAAAAATAATTGGGATTTTTTTGGAATATTAATCAGATTTAGAGGAAGATGAAAGTTTTGAAACGCAATCAGGAACTTATGCTAACGAATAACTTGGATTAAACGTTTTACACTGTAGTCAGCGAATGATTAAGAAACACTTTTCTCTACTATGGCTTTCAAGGCCACTGTACTTTTTTGGGTGTTGTTATTTCTATTTCGCACTGTCAAATCGTAGGGAATCCCTTTCTGCAGCTTCTTCATTACACTAGTCTTTTCCAAACAACTTTTAGCACTAATCAGTTGATATCAAACATTTTCCTCATATGCTTATTCTTGGCTGAATTCAACTCGTACATCAAAAGCGGTGCCGGTGTTTGTTATTTTCGGAATCTGAGACGAAATCTTCCCCAACACTTACATCTCTAGAATCATTTCTTCAGAACTAATAATAGTGACCTTGGATCACTTTTAGGTCTCAGTGTCATATTAGAGTTGAGGGCTGATACACCAATTTGCGAAGAAAATATTATAGTGAAGTATAACCAGGAGAACACTACAATTATTCGTCTATCCGTTTTAGTTACAGAAGTCCCATATTGGGATAACTTAAAAACTACCGCCCGTATAAACATTGTTTTTTTCTCCCTTCAATGCGAAGTTAAAAGAGAGCTCAAAACTTAACTCCGTATTTACATTTCGAAACAATGGTACACAACTGCTGAAATAATTCCACTCCAGAATAATATTACGAGAGCTCAAATATGTTAGCATTCTTAAAGCAACTTTTAACTCATAAAAAGTCACTTACTTTCATAACAACCGGCATCCAAGAGTTTCTCCACTAGTCTTGCAACAATCCCAGGTCTAATTTTTCCCTCGTAGGCACAGTGAACGACACAAGAAACGTAACCTCTAACAGTCATTTTTGCTTCTACGGCTGCCCGGGCTACACTGGACGCTTCTTCTAGGCTTTTTTCCATTGATTTATTGACGTTTTTCCTTCAAAAATCAAATTTCAGTCGGGATCACTTTGATGAAATACTTAAACTACACAAGATCATTCCCCAGTTAAAGGAGTTTCGGATAAATTATTCAGGAATAGCTGAAAAATAAAGACCTTGAAAACGTATCAGAAGCAGCACAAAATACTGCAACGTCCCTTACTAAGCCAGAATTGACCTGGAAATAACTATATAAGTGCTTATTGAAACTTAATGATAATGCACATGTAAGCGTAAATTTATCTATGCTGTAGTAAAAGATTTAAAAACTCAATCTTCCCCTAACTTTTTCAAAGTAAACAAACATCTTTATCAAAAAGGAAAAAACACAGAAAAGTAACTGAAGAAAAAAAACCAAACAACTTACAACTTTCTCTAAACCTTTTTTATTAGGAACAAGTACGGGATATGATATACCAGGTTGTTTTTGGAGTGCAGCAATTAACTGTGCATGATCTGCCATCTAAGTAAAATTCTGTACGAGTAAAATTAAACCAAGAAGCAAAAAAAGCAAGTACTAGCAACCGTAAAATTTCTCTTAGTAGAAAGCTGTTAAAAATTTTTGAAAAATATTTATCACATACCTGAGGTACTTTTTTTGGTGAGACATAACTGGTTACTTCAATCGTCTTTAATCCACAAAATCCAAGCTTTTCAATAAACTTGAGCTTGTCCTCAATTGCCAGGATTTTCTGGAAGGCGGAGACGTGAAATTGATCTTCACAGTTTAACCGCTTATAACCAACAGTTTGGAAATGGTAAAAGATGTACTGACCGATTGAAAAATTTTAAAAAATTTTTAGAAGTTCCTGAAGGAAAACTACGTTACTACGCTTGTCTTTCAGAGATCCATAGATGACTGAATTGAGAAATGAATGTAGTTAACTCGAGCTAATAAGTAATACAAGGAAGAAAAAAATTTAGCAGATGTAAATGGAAATCGTCTATCGGACCTTTTCATTTTGCAGTCCGTCTCGAGGGCCGACCTCAACAACTTTAAAAGCATTATCACCTGATGTCGTACAGCTCTAAAAATGTTCATTTTAAAAAGAGATTTCAAAAGTTCAATTGATGATTTTCAAGAATTGAAGGCATTACTTTTCTCAGCTGTAAAAGCGTATTGTACTTAGAATTAAATAAACGTTTAAACATCTCTTAACACTTTTCAAGCAAGTCGGCATTCAAAACTACCGCCCGCTAACGACTACAGAACATAACACTCACAGAAAATTAAACTACAAGCGTCATATGGTCAGTTTTCCGAACTTTAAAGAAAGCCATTACGCCATTTCATCTCACATTTTTTGGAAAGATCCTCTTACTGACTTGCAGCAATGGAGAGTTATGTAAGAGAGCGAAAGTGGCAGCCAGAACAACACTGACTTCCCCGGACCAACCACTAAAAATACAAGAACCGAAAATCCTTTATGTTGGCATCACCATCGGAATTCTTTGTTTCAATCTGATTTCTGATCAGAAATAAACATTATAATTGCTTAAATGAATCTCTTGCAAAACACACCACAACAATTCAGCAACCCTGTTCATATACATATGAAGATCTCACATACAGCAGCTCATTTTTCAATCTGATATGTCAGAATTCTAATATACTTTGCTGATTAACAGTTCAATCCCCAATTCAGTGTCTGAAAAACGAATTCTCCAATAACCCATATCTTATCAAAGTTCAGAAATTTCCCTTTTTCTTGTGCACTCAAGGCCACTTTCAAGTTTTGTGACTTTGTTGCGAATCAGAGAATTAGCTAGTTTGAATTTAAAGAGAAGCGTGTTTATTAGAAATTTGAAATTAAAAAACTTTTACACGCTACGTATCTGAAGCAAAAATAAAAAAAATCAAATATCAAAGAAGCCGCCCACCTCAATTTTGCTCTGAAAAAGCAACTTTTTGTGTAAGCTGTTGTTCCGCAAAAATTTCAAAGCGCGCAAATCTTAATTTCTGAAGTCACAACCACCTAAATTAATTGAAAGAGACACTTCATTATATTTTAGTAAAAGCTCGTATCAAACTAATTTTTCGCGGTTTAGGCACAGTTTTACAGCTCTATTACAAAATCAATCCAAGCGCGAAATCTCACTAAAATACATGAGCCGTTTCAATATCGAACCGTATGGCTTTTCCCCACAGTATGTCAGATTTTTTTTTAAAACTTTTTAGTTTTACCTCAGACTCCTGGTTTACATAATTGTTACCGCATTTGAAAAGAAACCTGAAAAAGTGTCCCAAGCACCAGAAAATGTGTCAAAGCATGGTCTACTTCAAATGAATTCAACCTGCTCGTTTTTCATAAAACTATTTCTACGGTCATTTAAAGCACCTTTATGAACTTTTAACTTTTCTACATAAACAGCAAAATTATAGCAGAATCCCAACCTTAAAACAGGATAGGGGGCTAATGCAATTAAAAATGCTCACTCCCAAACTAATTTTTCTGGTCGTCAACGATTAAAAAAAAAATGAAGCAACACTTACGATCAAATCAAGCGGTTTTCCCGTAACCTTGGGAGTTCAATTCTTTTTTCACATGGGCTAGCAGACAAACCTCTTTGATCTTGTAAGTCTCAGGCAAAATTCTATCATTTAGAAACGCTTAAAAGAAAGCTGAGAGAGATAATTCAACAAGGGCACTAAATTTCTGTAGAACTCAGTAGTTGTTAGGTAGTCACAAAAGTGATGAGCAGAATGACGTTAGAGCAGTCCCAGAACTTCCAGAATAAGTCAGTTAAAAACACGCTAGTTTAGACTTATACCAGCATTTTTCTCGACAATCAGCGAAAGGCATTACCATCTTTCCTCTGATATACATGAAGAAAGACTAGAATTGGGTTGCCTACCCCAGTAATGTACTTTCACGTTTCCGCCTATATTTCAGTGGAAAAAGAGGGCTACCTTTGTACCAGAAGTATGTAAAATAATAAAAACCCTTTTCTTGCTTCATTTGTTTTTTCTTTTTTAAATTATTCCTTTATTCTTATTATTCATTGTTTTCGATTCGACAGAGGATTGTGTTTCTTGGGTTCCACAGTTAAAGCTGTATTTTTCTCATCGAGTTGTCGAAATACTTTGTTTTTTTTTAAACTTTTAAAAAATTCTTCCTTAATTAGATTTTGAAAAAAAAAAAAAGAACAATAGATATTTTTCGGAAATGAGCAAAGTTATGACAGTAGGCAGATTCAAGATATGCGTTAATAATGGAGACGCTGTCACATTTCTGCCAAAATCTCAACGGAAAAAGAGTCAAAAAGCAAAACATTTGCAAAACAAACAGGTAAAACATTGATAAACGGCATGCTATTAATAAACATCATTTGAACATGTAATAAAAAAGTTAAAATGTATCCCTGCCAAATCAGTGGTGACTTTTGGTTTATGGCTTCTACGATATTAACTTAGGTAAAAGTTTAATACAGAGTTGGAAAACCAACTTTCTCCGGGTCCCTTGAATACGAATGATAAACATGGGACCTGTGCGAACTGGAACCGAAGAGGAATACTAATCCCCTTTGGCTGGGCCACGAGTAAGCTTATTTGTGGTGCTAAAAATGAATCAGATTTTTGGCGGAACTGTAACTAAATAGACGGGAAATTGAAAACGCTGAAAAGTAGTTTTACCATTAAAACACTTTTTGCGTCATGCCATTTAAAAGTTATGACCGGATTAGAATTAGAAAAGGAATTTTTGCTTCCACAGATGCTGGCGATGTGGCCTTTCTCGTGACACGTGAAACTTTGCATTACGGAAATAGAAATTTTTACCTGCATTTTCTGTCCCACAACTTAAATAGCATCCAAGGTCAACCCTGGTTGTAAAAATTGACTGGCATCTGGAGAATTCCGACATATTAAAATAGTGCTTATCAGTCGACAGGAACTTCCAGCAACTTGTTATCAAATCTTGAGCTCCAGAAACTTTACTTGAACTTGCACATTGTTTAACCGTATAATAAAAACGAAAAATAACGTTGACTTATAAAGCTCTCTTGGTAAACATAATAGTTACCCCTTTTTTAACTATATTTGCAAATTTAAGAAAAGACTGACTAGGTCGTTCAGTGTGAATAATCGGGTATTACTGAGAGAAAAGGAGGGTTTTTGCGCTTCATATTTTCCTCATTATTGACTAACTTTTCTTGCCAGAGCTTTTGGCATTTTGGTCAAAAAACCGACAAGGGATAGTAAGCATTCAACGGTAGCGAATTTAAAAGGAATACAGGCTACTTGCCTGTTAGACTTTTGAAAAGCTAAGGAAAGCCTGAGACCTTGACAGCTTGAAGAGAATATCACTGCTGATAGCGTCAGGAGATTCTGCGAGGCAAGCAGTTAAAGCGTCGACGCAGCATCAGTAGAATAAGTCAGCGCGGAAAGGAAGAATAATTCTGAATCACCAGTTGTTACGTATTTTTGACTAAGAGCCCGCATTTGAGTTTAATGAGCCTACGTAGCTAGGGATCTCTGCCCTAACAGTTAAGAAATACTTAGAAAGAAGTAAAGAAATAAATCTTTGACTAGAAGTCAAATAAGAAAAACACAAATTCAACAGTAATGCAAAAAAAGCGTAAACGTTTATCCATTGGAAACAAAAGGAAATACAAGCTGAGGTAACTCAAAACTAACTTGGTCCAAAAAGATATAGAAATGAACTGATGGGAATGCGCTGTAAAAACAGGAACGTACAAAGTGATAAAGCTTCTGGTGGACGGCGCGCATAGAAACATTTCAGAGCAATTCCAAACAGAGAGGGACTTAAGACAGATCAATTGAATTCAAATAATTGACACCTAACATTGACCTTATCTATTTTTTTTGACATTTTTTCTGTTATTTTAAGGTAAGGGGTCACTTTGCTGATTTAGCGACGCCTGGGGAAAAAAGCTCGTTTTGATTAGTGAATTCCAGTTACAAGAATAGAAGATACTTCTGACTTTAGCGCTTCTTCTTCCCAGGAAAAATGCTGAAATCAGAGATACTTGGTCGTTTTGAAAAAAATTTTAAGAGTGAAGAGCAGAAATGGCTTTTTAATAACCAGAGGAGAAGTTCTCCATTATCGTCATAAATAAGTAGATGACTATTCAGGTTTTACTTCTCAAGAGCTAGTTCCTGTGCAAAGTTCAGGATGAATTTTTAATCATTTTACATATGGGCAGATATGTGTGGCACTCCTTCGTCACTGAGAGACCACCAGAAACGATGCTTGCTGTCGTTGCTCAAGTTTACAGATTTCCCAAGTCAGTGAAACCGAAAATTTGTGCTCTCATTCCATCAAAGCTAAAGAAAATCTTAGCTAAACAATATTTCACATCAACCGTTTTGTCAAGAAAAAACTGTATATAGCATTCGATTTCAAATTAAGAGCACTTCAGTGCTAGTTTGCACGATGCTAATTTTCAAATATCTTTAGAGATATATATTTTTTAAAAGACATTCTCTTGCCTTTGCTTTTGTTGCATCTATCCATCTAACTCTTAAAATTAAAATTTTTAGCAGTTTTCGGAATCAGAAGAAAAGAAAATACAAGGAAATTAAAAAGTCAAAAATAGTCGGCTTTCACTGAGGTTCAGCTACGTTTCTAAATACAGAAAGGCAGTCATGTTGGCAGAAATGAGACAACTTTTTGAACTTTTAGAAAACATAAAATTTTTTTTAATCCCACTTCTGACTCTGCTAAAAATTTAAGAAGATTTGAGATAAAAAGTTAAAAACTGTGCCAATTGGCATGTAGCACGTATAAGCAGTTGAAGAGGTTTATAAAGCGGTAGAAGCAGACATTTCTAGTACAGAAATTCACTTATTGGCACTTTTCAAATTCTGTATTCACAATTTAAACACTGTAATTAAACATATATTTCTGGGGTATGGAAAGTGGTCAAGAAATGTGAGAATTGCGATTGAAGGAACCACGCAGGGATGAATTTAAATGCTTTCTTGATTTATAGAATCACATTTGCAAAACTGCTGCTCCAACTATTACACCACCTGCTAGAGGGATATCGGCAGTATGAAGTGGCAAGAGAATTACAGCCATATTTTAGCATTAGACCGTTAAAAAAAAACAACAATGACTGATGAGACAAGTCTGGAACTATCACAGTTGAAGGTCGAGAACTCTGAATAAAAAAAATAATTATCACAGTTGAAGGTCGAGAACTCTGAATAAAAACAATAATCATTCAAAAAAGGTATTTTTGAAAGTCAGTACACTCAACTGCAACAGATCCGTGGCGTTGCAGCCGAAAAAGTTTTATTCTTGTAATTTCATAGCAGAACTAATCTAAAAATTCCAGGGGTACAGTTTGACATTTGAAGTATCTTCGTTTATCCTGCTTTAAAATGCAAATATGAGCATTTAGATTTTACTGTCCTAGATACTGGCTTTTTTCACAGGGAACAGCAAGAATGTTTGATAATTGTCAACGGGCAAGTTAATCTCGATTTTTACATGCGTATGTCTAGTTTTATATGCTCGTTTTGAAAAACTCTTCAAGTTTTTGTCTGATTATTTTCTCATCATTTTTCAACCTGAGCTTGCAGATCAACTTTTGATGACAGTTCGCTATTCCTTTTCTCACCATTAAGTTTTACCGATAACCGCCTGTTCCAGTAATAGTGAAAGACTTCCCGTTTTCCCTTTACAATTTGACTGACGTGCACATTATACACTTTGTACATAAAAATTTTTAATTGTACCTTTTATTTTAAATGACCGTAAGTTCATTCAAAGTCTCATTTTTTAATTACAGAAAACATCAGAAAAACCAATACATGACTGCTAACGTAGAAACGTCTTTGGCATTTGCACTGGTGTAAATTGGAAGATTCTGTGAAAGGAAGATCTTGGGAATGACTTGAATAAAACAGAACGATAGATCGAGCCAGTTGCTTTTATCCAGTAGAGAAGTTGCATTTTATATTTCTAGAAAAAAAGTAACCAAGCATATGGGACTCGAACAGCAGTAAGGAAAGCAGGAAGAAGGGAAATAGATGTTCTTCTGAATTATGACAAGCAGTTTTTCTGCCATTTGGTAAACCCAGATAGCCAAACAGTTTTTAAACACTGTCCTGCCGAGTAATTTGTTTCAATAATAGTGGCCCAAGCGTTTGAAAAGGTTGGAAAACAAGTTGGACGTAACAATGTTGATCAGTAATATTGTAGCAAAAGAAATTTGGTTATCAGCAACTTCCAAAAATGTGAACGAAATTTCCGAAGATGTCAAAAATATTCCAAATTGCAAATTTCTCTTTGAAAGAAGTCTAATTCAAGATAAAAGTTTCCAAATGATGATGACTTTTACCAAGCTTAATTAAGAAATTTTACTGTTTCAAACTTTGTATAAGGAAATCTTTGATTAATTTATTTTTTAACCTGATTTGCTTATATTCACAACAATTTTTTGCACAAATTATTCTTGCGAAACTCTGAACAATTAATGTTTGCTTAAACAAACAGAAAGAAGAAACAAGAAAAATTTATAACAGGCTTAAATTAAACGATGGTTTTTTCTTTAAGCAATGCAAACTGTTTGTCTCTTCCGTTTCGGTTTTCCTCAAACAAAACTGTACTTCTATAGCTGAGGTGCAAAACTTTACTACTACGTTTTTTTTTGGCTAGACTTATGAGAATTAATAAATGTTATAAATATCGTTCTGACAGTCTCACCTATAAAAAGAAACTTTTTTTAGTTTGTTCATTTTTTGTAAAATTTAACCATTTTTCAGTTCTCTTTACAACTACCTTTACAAAAAATTTTTGATTAAATTAGTTCTGCTTCGGAAAGATA